CTTTCTGTCAGATTCACACAAAGTTCTCTACATGGTGCATGCTCAATAATTATATATTGACATGAACATAGCCCTTGTTCATTCAAAACAAATGATTACATAATTCCATTTGTTGAGCATAGTTATTTCAAATATCCATCAGGGGAATAGCACAGAACAATGTGGACATTTTGGTCAAAAGAAACTCTGCACAGTGTGCAACTTGACAAATATATATTGATCAAGTGGGTCCTATCATTGAGAAAGAACACAAATGAGCAACACAGGTCCATTTTTTCAGGAAAGTAAGAACTTGTGCTTAAAACCGAAAAAACAAAACTACTGTCTTTGAGTCAATTCTGACTCAGCAACTCTATAGCATAGAACTGTCCCACAGGGTTTCCAAAGCAATAAATCTTTATAGAAGCAGACTGTCACATCTTTTTTCCCATGGACCGGCTGGTGGGTCAAATTGCTGATCATTTGGTTACCAGCTGAGTGCTTAACCACTATGTCAATAGGGATCCTTAACTTGTGCTTTGACAATTAACCCTAATACTTGTTGACCTAAGGTCACTGTCATAATAAATAGTGAGGAATGAGCTTGAGTAATTTAAACTAAGGTGTAATGACTGTTGGTATAGGATCATAAAATATTCCATGAAGTAGATGACGTTTGAGCTTGAACTTAAATGGAGAAGTGTGATTTCAGTGGATGACCTGTGGTTGTGGAGGTTTTCCAGGAAAGAGAGACATTAGTGTAAGCGTTATAGGTAAGAAAAGCATGGCCTACTTTAAAACCAAAACAAAAAGATTATTCTAATTTAAGAAGGACTTAGAATGACTCAGTTAGGAAAGTAAGGATAGTGGGAGTTAAAGCTGGATTTGTAGATTAGGATCATTGCAGAAGTTCTGGATAGTCTATTATAGGTTTACATAGTATACACCATTATATTATTAATATATACCAATACAGTATAATATACCATCATATTATTTATATAGTTTATATATAAAAGTATTATATATAAATGTATAATAGGTACAATGTGTATGTGTGTGTATATATATATATATATATACTATATAATATATATAACATACATATGGACATACATATATATATATATATATATATATATGTATATGTATATAAGGAGGCTCTGGTAGTGTAGTGCCTAAGGCATTTAACTGCTAACCAGAAAGCTGGTGGTTCAAACTCACCAGCCACTCCTTGGAAGGAAGACTGGGCCATCTACTTCCACAGATACACTGCCTCGGAAACCCAAGGAGGGGTTGCTATGAGTCAGATCTGACTCGACAGCAGTGTGTTTAGAGTTACGTATATATATATTATTATAGTATACATGTCACACATATATGATGTATTAGAATATATTATGGGGGAAGAAAAAAGTAAAACAATTTGAGGCTTTGCTTAGCATTTTTGACCTAGCAGAATTATTTAGCAGAAAGGGTCAAAAGACAAGAACAGATAAAAACCTATTTTAATATCTCAGGGGAGATCTTAAGAAGATCTGAACTATGATGATTTTAATTTATATACTCTCTGACTTCTTTTTCTTTTTTTTTTTTAATTAGGGAACTAAAATAATTCAGAAAAATGTTTGGGTAAATTCCTTGCTATATTACCTGTCACTAGCACTACTAGAAGTCCAGGAATTAGATTCCAGTAATGTAGCATCCTTACACTCCAAGCTTGCTACATAGATTCTGGAAGCAAATAGTTTTGAATTATAAGAGACACTTGTAAAGGCATTTTAACCTTTTGTTAATTTAGCTAAATGGTAGATTTTTATTTTCGTACTTGGTTATTTTTATTCATGTTATATAGTTTTGATTAGCTTCTAAAAATGTGCTTACAAAAAGTTTTTATTTTTTATTTATGTAAACATAGACTCTTTATTTCATATTTTCTTCAATTATTTCCCATACCCAACTTTACCACCTTTTCCTGTATCTAAATATCCAAACTCTACCTATTTTCCCTTCCTAAACCTGTCAATAGGAGTAATTTTTCTAACCTTCTTTTGTTGTATCTCTAAACATATCTTGTTATCATCAATACTTAGTGTTTCATTTGAAGAGATGTCTTGTACTAATAGGGAATCAAGAGCTCATATTCCAGGTTTGGGTTTTTTTTTTTTTTTTTAGTGTTTTATTTTGAAATACTCATTTTCTATTTACTCTCTTAAAAACATATTACTAAAAAAAAAAAAAATCACTAATAATTTGCTTGTAAATAATTTATCAGGAGCCCTTGTGGAACAGTGGTTAAGTCACTTGGCAGCTAATTGATTGGTGTTTCAAACCCACGAGTTTCTCAGATAAGATGTGGGAGTCTGCTGCTTCCCTAAAGACTACTGCCTTGGAAACCTTGTGGGATAGTTCTACTCTGTCCTAAAGGGTTGCCATGAGTTATAATTAACTCAATGACAGCGAGTTTGGGTTTCTTTTCTTTTCTTTTTTTGAACAATTTATTATTGGAAAACTAAGGAACTTTTTTTTTTTTTTTTTTTACAACCAACAGCAAAGAGATTATATTGAAGTTGATAATAGGCAAAACAATTGCTTTCGTCTTACTTATACCAATGGCTTAAAATAAAAATCATTTGAGGAGGCTGCAATAGCTGTGTTGTTGTTAGGTGCTATGAGCCTATTTCTGACGCGTAGTGACCCATGCGATGGAACTGTCTCATAGGGTTCTAGCTGTGATCTTTAAGGAAGTAGACCACCAGATCTTTCTCCCGCAGAACTGCTCGGTGGATTTGAACTTCCATTCTTTCAGTTAGCAGCTGAGCGTTTAACTGTTGTGCAAACAGAGCTCCTGCAGTAGTTGTGGAGGGAGATTAATGATTTTAAATTTATTTTATCTATATACTAGTGATCTAATGCACTGTATTGCCTACAAGAAACTACAATAATATTTGTAAATATTTGTAAAACTATATTAAAGAACACAATAAAAAATCTTTCCTCCACATTTGTTCTCAAAGGTTGTCCTCCCATTTCATGTACAGTTAATTGAACTATTCAGTTCCTGTTCCTTCAATTAATTTGCTGAAGCCTCACTTTAACTTATGGGACATTTATATTTAAGCATAAATATTCTAGCCAAGTGGTCTCACTACATCTTTGTTTATACCAAACGGAAACTTTATCACTGACATATTAAATAAGATTTTTGTATCAGTATTCACCAAACTTTTTGTTTGTTTTGTTTTGTTTTTTAAAAAACTCACTCCTATAAAGTTGATTCTTCCTCATAGCGACCACCATTGGGTTTCCAAGGCTATAAATCTTTACAGAAGCAGACTGCCTCATCTTTTTATGTGGAGTGACTGGTGGGTTTGAATCACTGACCATTTGTTAGCAGCCAAATGCCTTAACCACTTACATTACCAGAGCTCCTACTCATAAATGTATATTAAAAATAAAGAAAGATCAAAATTATAAATGAAATAAAAAGTGAATAAACATATTTTATTCCTAAACATTCCAGTAATTAGTATACCCTACTACGTGGATAATTTACCTACTTACTCTCATAAAATGTTTGAATTCCCCTTGTTATTACCCCTATCTCAAAGGTTTTTCTTCTGTAATGACTGAGAGGCATCAATCCCTTATTTCTAATTTTTTTTTTTTTTTTTTTAGCAGAATGGGGAACAAACCATCTAGCTTACTAACCTGAATCCATTCACAAAATTCACCAAAAGACTTTTTGTTTTAACTTGTGTGCCACAAATAATGCTTTTAATACTACTTGTTTTAAATTCATGTAGGATTGATTATTTCTGTAGTTAAAAGTCTATTATTTCTAGATTTTAAATTGCTTTGCTTGGAACCAACAAAAGCATATACAAACTCCTTTAACTAGCCCAGTTCCCTTTAAAGAATAGGGAAGGATTTGTTGGATAAGATTTTTAGTATAGTTTAAAAATGAGTATTGTATGTATTATGTACATAAATATCATTTGTTATAAATTCCTTTATAAGGCTTATCATTAATGACATTAGCTCCCTGTGTGTCTTATTATTTAAAACTGGGAAGATTTTTATGAATGATTTAGTCTGTTCACCACTATAATACCAATATTTTTATCACTAGAAAAAACTTCTGAAAAAATTGGCCTTGGAAATCTCAGATACAGAGATGGGGCAACTTTAGTAGCCTAACTTGAATTAGTCTATTTCATTTACATATAT